CGTGGGACCATGGGGTTATGTTCCCCCCGACACGGTTTCCTGCTAAACTACAAGTAGAGGACCCCAAGTTCCCCTGCCTCTAGCTCCCTTTTCCTAAGTGGACATGGGCCTGTGGCTACAGTTCAGAGTCAAGGGCCAGTGGGTACCCTTGGTGGTCAAGAGACGCCAGGAGGGCGGCCGCCCATGGTTACCAGTCTGAGCAGCTTATCCAGGGTTTGACAGAGCCCTGGATCCACCTGAACCAATTATGACAAATAACCCGCGGAATAAGGCAGTGACAACAGGGCCCAGCCAGATAAACTGGCGTAGGCTGTTTTGTTTAGCGCCTTGCAGTGAAATCGGACGTCAAGAGCGGGTGCCGGGTAGCTGACGAGAGTGACGGCCGGATGGATCAGAACGAATTCGGAGCAGGCAGAGCCATCGTCGTTGAGGTTTCGCAATCACAGCCAGAAGCAGAGGGCAACCCCAGTCTTGTGTGGGGACTCGTAAATTCCAGAAGGACTGTGGGAAGACCGGGGGGGTGCCGGAGCACGGGGGAGGTGGGGGAGCAAACAGGCAGGAGGGCCCTCCCCGATGTGGGGCATCAAGGGGTGAAGGGACCAGAGAAAGGAAAATGGAGCAGCGTGAACGGGGCGGGGTGGGGGGTGGACATCCCAGCTCCGTGCGCGGCGGATGCTGCATCACCCGGTTTAACCCTCGTTGCACCTCTGAAGTGGGCGTGGGAACCCCTCCACCTACACAGATGGGCCGGGGAAATGAAGCACCCAGAGCCACACCTGGTCGGTGGTCCAGACAAGATCCACGCCTGGATGTCGGAGACTCGACAGCCAGCTGGACAGTGGGTGGGAGGGACGGCTGGTCCCGAATCTGGGCAGGGCATGGTGGAGGCTGTGGCCAGGCTACCTGGGCAGGTAGGCCGGCCTGGCAGGGCGGGTGGGGCGGGCGGCAGGGAGGGGTTTTCTGGGTCTGGGGCAAGGCCAGCACTTTGCCAGTAGCAACCGTATCAGACTGACCCAGGCTGCTGTGCGGAGGGACGGCAGAGACCTGGAGGCCCGGTGGCGGGGCCGGACAACCCTGGTCGCCCCCTCAGGCCTGGAGACCTGCGACAGACCTGGGGTCTAGCCAGATGGCCAAGGGAGCCACCAGGGAGGTGAGCTGTGCGTGTGTGTGCCTGTGTGTACACATTGTGTGTGTGTGTGTGTGTGTGTGTGTGTGTGTGTGTGTGTGCGCGCGCGCGCGCGCACGCACAGCCATGAGAGAGGTGTGGTGTCCAGCCTGGGGCCCCGTGCACCCCTGGAGAGAAGCGCCCACACCCTGAAATTCTGAGACTCACAGCCGCTCCGTCCCCACCCCATCTCTACCCCAGAGGCCGTGCCCCCTGCCAGGCCCCAGGATGCCACCTGGTGACCAAAAAGGGTCTCAGGCCAGGCCCAGGTCGGCACCCCTGCCCCAGGTCCTCACGGAAGGGTGCCCCCCAGGGCTGGGGCAGCTCGCTCTGGGGCAGCGGGCAGGTACAGACAGGCCCTGGGCAGTTACAGGCTCTCCCTGGGGACCAAGGCAACAGGCCTGGGGAGGGGCTCGGCCTGGCATGGGCAGAACAGAGGACGGGAGGCCTACGGGGTGAAGAGAGAAAGCCTCCGAGGCCCCATGTGGGTCCCGCTGGGCTGCAGGGCAGGGCTGGTCGGCCCAGCAGCCCAGAATTAGAGGAAGACCACCCATGTGCCCGAGGCTGGCGGGACCCCGCGCCCAGCCCCCAGCGCCAGCAGCCTGTGAGAGGAGTGGGCAAAGCCTCCCGAGTCCCTGCTCTTACCAGGGCTGACCTGCTGCACACGGCCGTCTGTCACCCGCGGAAACTGACGCTCAGAGAGGCCCACGGTTGGCCCTAAGTCACAGACACGGTGAGAGGCCAGGCCAGGGTCCCAGCCCTCGTGTCGGACCCGGGGCCCTGCTCCTGCCCGGCTTTGGGGGCCCAGTGCCCTGCCCAGAGGGGCCAGCACCTTGGACACGGAGAGGCACAGCTTCCTAAATTGCCCCCAAACTAGAGCTGGAAGGACCCTCATTCCCCCGGCCCCTGAGGCCCAGAGAAAGGGGAGGAGTGGCTCCGGGTTCCCCAGGCTGGTGGGTGGCCCGGCCAGGACTCATCACCCACAGGCTGCAGGGGTGTGCTGGGGGCCTCTGCAGTCACCCCGGCCCAGGCTGTGGTGGCATTAGCTGAGTCAGTGGCCATTGTGTGGGCCGCCACCAAAGCCCAGGGCCAAATCCCATCTGCCACTCCCTGGTGGGCCGGCCCGGGGAAGGGGGCGTGTCAGGACGCCTCCCACCACCCTGTCCTCCGGCCCAGTCTCTGCCAGCCCAGAGTGGGCAGCTCAGAGCTGGAAGGGCCTGGCTCAGGGAAGGCAGGAGGGGAGAGCCTGTCCCCCGTGGGAGAGAGCCGTGTGCCACCGGAAATGGCAGGCCGGCCTAGGAGGGGAGCTGGCATAGTGGGGGAGCCTGGAAGGAGGTTCGGTGCCACAATGAGGCCATTAGGTCCCTGGGGTGAAGGGCAGGTGTGGGGAGGGGGGTGTTGAGGTCTGTGACTGGCCCGAGGCTCCTCGGCCACCCCACAGCTGGGCCACGAGCTGCCCAGGGCCCAGTCACCTGGTCACGGTAAACAGCAGTCAGAGGCGCCAGCCGCCCGCGTCTGGGCGGGCAGGTCTGTCCTGCGAGAGGCTTGGTCAGCGTCCAGCCCCAGGCAGGGAAATCAGGCCAGGCCGGCCAGGCCGCCTCTCCCGAGTGGGTGCCGGCTGTGAGAGCAGCCGCCAGGGGTGGGGCCTCGTTCGGCCAGAGAGCCCCATGGGTGGCCACAGGGTCAGCCTCTCCCCAGTCCCTCCTAGGACCGGGTTGCCAAGTCCCTTGCTCCCCCAGACCCGGTACCCGTGTCAGTCGTGCCCTCTAAGCCGGTGAAGCATGCCTTACCCACCCCGGGGGCCCTGTGGCTCCCGGCTGCGCCTGGCATGTGGCCCTGCTTGGGGTCTGGGGT